TAGGCTGTACCATGGACTTCCAACAAATAGGTCCTCCCACAAGAGTAAACACATAACCTGTGGTAGACCTCCTATCATCCAAGTCCCCTGCATAGTCTACATCCACATATCTCATAATTGAAGGGTCACTCCGTTGTCTACCAAACATGATGTCATAGTCTGTAGTGCCCCTCAAGTATCTGAAAATCCACTTGACTGCATCTCAATGCTGTCGACCCGAATTTGAAAGAAACTTGCTAACCACGCTGACAGCTTGTGCCAAATCTGGTCTTGTACAAATCATGACATACATTAAGCACCCTACTGCACTAGCATATGGGACCTTTGACATGTCATGAACTTCATCATCTGTATTCGGGCACTGAGCGGTAGACAATCTGAAATGATTCATCAAAGGTGTACTTACTGATTTTGCATAACTTATGCTGAACCTATCCAACATCTTCTCAACATAGCTATGCTGAGATAGCCATAATCTCCTGGAACTTCTGTCCCTACAAATTTTCATCCCAAGAATCTTCTTAGCCGCACCCAAATCCTTCATATCAAATTCTCTGCTCAACAAAGTCTTCAACTTGTTGACCTCACTCATACTATTGGCAGCAATCTATATATCATCCACATAAAGTAACAGAAAACTAAATGAATCATCATCAAGCCTTTTCACATAGACACAACAATCATACTTACACCTTTTGTGGCCAATCCGGATCATGTAAGAGTCAAATCGCTTGTACCACTGCTTCGGAGACTGCTTCAGCCCATAAAGTAATTTCTTCAAATTACAGATCAAATGTTTCTCTCCAGGGAGACTGAACCATTTTGGTTGTACCATGTAAATCTGTTCCTCCAAGTCGCCATGAAGGAAAGTTGTCTTTACATCCATCTGCTCCAACTGCATATCTGAATGTGTTACTAGTGCCAACACTTTCCTGATGGAAGTGTGTCTGACCACGGGGGAGAAGATCTCATCATAGTGAACCCTTTTTCTTTGTGAGTAACCCTTTGCTACTAGACGAGCCTTGAATTTTTCCCCCTCCTTTTCTGATATTGTTTCTTTCTTCTTATACACTCATTTGCACCCTATCGTTCTCTTTCCCTCAAGAAGCTCCACCAACTCCCATGTCTGGTTCTTATGCAGAGACTCCATCTCTTCCACCATAGCACCCATCCATCTACTTTTCTCTTGGCTTTGTACTGCCTCCTGAAAAGTTGTAGGATCCCCGCTACTAGTAATAAGCGCATAAGAAACCAAATCTTCAAAACCATACCTGGTAGGTGGCTTGATATTGCGTTTGGGCCTGTCTGTGGCTATACTGTGATGTTGCTGATCACCTGAGATAGAACTCTCTACATGTTGAGCATCCTCTTCTCTACCATGGTTCTCTAGCTCCACCTGCACCACATACTCATTAGTGTTACAGTTTTTTGGCACTTGTTTCTCTTCTTCCTGAGTATGTTGTAACATGACTTTTTCATCAAAAATCACATCTCTACTGATCACCATCTTGTTTGCCTTCGGATCCTAGAGCTTGAAGCCTTTCACCCCTTTCTGATATCTCAGAAAGATACACTGTCTAGACTTCACATCAAGCTTCGACCTCTCCTCACTAGAAACATGTACATAGGCTGGACATCCAAACACTCTCAAACTAGAGTAGTCTACCTCACTGCCTGTCCATACCTTCTCTAATACTTTCCCGCACTTGTAACACAAGAGGGAGACGTCCCTCTTCTTCTTCTTCGACTTGGACCAAGCTTTATTGTTACCCGATCCATTCCTAGATTTGCTTCTTCCACGTTCCTGGTTACCTTTCACCACAAGCCCTTCACCTTGTGAAGCCTCATCACTGGCTTTCTTTCGCTAATGAAAACCTAACAGAGCACCTGTGACATCCTCCAACTCGAGGGTTTCTTTCCCCCACATCAGAGTCGTAACTAAATTTTCGTACGTAGGAGACACTGGTAGGGAATTCAGTAACATCAACGCCTTGTCTTCGTCTTCGAACTTCACATCAACTCGCTTCAGATCGCTGATGATCTGATTGAACACGTTGATGTGTTGGGTCTAATCCGAGCCCTCTGACATCTTAAAACCATATAGTTTCTACTTAAGATAGAGCTTGTTCGTCAACGACTTGGACATATACCGACTTTCCAGTTTCAACCAAACTTCTGTCGGTGATTCTTCATCCATGACGTGATACATCACGTCATCAGCCAGACAAAGCCTAATAATCGTCACAGCTTTCGCTTCCAATTCTTTCCAATCCATGTCGTCCATTCCTGTCGGTTGTTTTCCGTATATCGCCTTCACCATGCCCTGCTGCACTAACAGGTCCTTCACCCTTCTCTGCTATAATTCGAAATTCTCAGTTCCGTCGAACATCATGATGTCGAATTTTACAAAAGAAATCCCAGACATTGTAGCCTTGTTCTGATACCAATTGTTGAGATCGTGCAGCAATTATGGTGAATAATAAGGAATCAAACAATTAAGAAAGCAAGAGAAAATAACACAGATATTTATGTGGTTCGGGAATGTGCCTACATCAACAGGAGTGAGCAGCCATTCTTTTTCATTATTCAAAGTAGTGTTACATCTTAAGTATTTATATAACTCTAGTACGGACGTATTTACAAAATACCCCTGTACCATACCGCGAGGGCATTGCCTCCGCACCCCCAACTAATCAGTGTCCCTCCCATACATAAAATATATCAATCCCGCAAGGCAGATACCGTCGCGAGCTCCACTCGCTCTGGCATCTACCTCCTTACCATTGTGCATACAGCAAATATGAGTCACACATACTCTAACATTGTTTTTTTAAAGAATAAGAGTACAATAGGATTTTTTCCTTGAGGCCTAGTTTTATACAATGATCATTACTTTTTAGAACAGAATATTAGGGGAATATTTAGGAAATATTCGAGGAATATTCAAAGCATATTTTGGCGTGATTTATTGCCCAATGTGTAGTTTGATGGTGAAAATCTTTTTCTGTCTCTTCTGATTGTTTAGAACTGTATTACTTGTTTTCTTCTAAAGTTTCATTACTTTTTGTATATTTTATGGTATCAACACAACCTAAACGTGCTATTAAGCCGGATTTTAACCACTAAACCAGCAGCCCCACGCATTTGGTAAACATTAAACATGTTTTATTTGTCCTTGTTTCTGTTGAGTTGATCATGCCATATAAAAACTTCAATGCTAAACAGAAAGCAGAATCTGCCTCTCCAAGTCCTGTGCTCAAAAGTCGCACCTCTAGCGGGAACAATTACTGGGTCATGAGTTTCCAATTTTCCAAAAACGCGTTTGACCAAATATCATACTACATTACAAGTATTTAGTCTAGTCAGATACAGAGGAAGGAAAATTGTTATTTCGTAGCTAAGAAAGTCTCAATAAGGTTATTTTCCACTCACATATGAATAATCGGCAATTCAGTAATTTAGATTTTGAAGAAAGGTGTCGGCGATCTCTATAACAAATCGAAAGTGATGGGATAAAAATCGAGAAGCATGAGATGAAAAGCTAGATAAACTCTTGGTGGATATGTCGTGTGTGTAGAAAAATAAGTAAGAATACACAAGAAATTAAGTGATTCATCAACTCAAAAATTTGGCTAATCCACTCTAATGGAAGTTCTTGCTCAATGGCCTGGAAAAAGAAAAGTACAATAGAGTTTTTTTGTTGCTTGAGGCTCCTTTTTAAATAGTGATCATTCTCTTTTATAACAAATATTAGAGAAATATTCGAAGAATATTCAGGAAATATTTGGTATGACGTAACCTTCTAGATGCAGTGACTTATTGTCCAAGGTTATGATTTGATGATGAAAGTCCTTTTCTGTCTCTTCTGGTAGTTTCTTTATCGTTTGTTGTCTTCTAAAATTCCATTGTCTTTTGTATATTTTTTCGGTATCAACAAACAGGATAAAAAATATTAGCAATACCAGAACAAATGAAATTAGTTGACCCAAATTTTGCAATAGCTAATGGTTAGTGAGGAACAGGAAAGATGGACCATAACTCCACCTAATTAATAAGCTTTATCAAACTATACACACTGCATTTCCAGTGTTAGAAACCTAAAGCCAGTGACACAAGAGAGTCTAACAAAATAAAAGAAAACAAAGCATGGCAAAAACTGCAAGAGATTTGAAGTGATTGAATTGGGTACTTGGAGACACTCTCAGTCACCAGATTGTCTATCAAAAAGAAACATATAACATAGTTCCACACATGCCCATAGGTCACACCATACAGTTTTTGGATGAGAATTGCACGACACATAAAACTCGTCTGCCAAACAAAGACAAGTATAACTCTTACAACCTGAGAGACTAATACTAATTAGAAAACTTGGAAGATTATTTATAACTCTTACAACCAGAAAGATTATTTATAAATTTGGAAGGTTCCAAACTTGACAATGCCGTGTATTTGAGGAAGTTAATTTTAAGTACATTACCTATTCTAATTTTTTATTAATTTTAATTTTTAAATGCCAACAAAATAAAAAAAAGATGTTAAAATAATATTATTAATTCATCAGATCTTGATGAAGTCAGTCAATCATCAACATTTCAAATTGAACCCCTTTGTGGTTCCCTTCTAATCTATAAAAAAATCGCCTTACAAATGCCATGACCATTCTCTAAGAGAATTCGCACAGAATATACAAGAAAATTTTCAAACAACACTTTGAGCTAGTAAAACTATATACACTGCGACTATGCCAAGTATCTAGTGAGCTAGGACTAGGGTATATTGTATGGACTGTATAGTCTCTTTGGGTTCGAGTTGCGAAAATTTCCTTTTTGTTTATTGGGGTAAAACTACGTACATCTAACCCTCTCTAAACTTCGCAATAACGGCACTGAGTATGCCCATTAGTACGATCTCTTCGGAAATATACATTTAAGAGAGACCTATATACGCCTTTTGAATAGATTGAATCATGATACAACAATATTCAGATTAGTGTGTTTCTATATCGGCTTCAAAAGTGGGTAATCTTTATGCAGCTCCTCCTCTAACAATGCATCATCTTCGTTTTGGGGAGTCCATAACACATGCACAGCCTACAGGGAAAAAAAAAGAAGACAATAGTTATCCAGTCTACCATTTGAAAGATTTAGCACACCAGTCTGTGTTCTGTTACCTCAATGTCAACAACTGTGAGGAAGCAACCCAAATATTGCAAGGCCACCTTCAAGCTTTCCCTGCTCTTGATGACAGGTAAAGTGTACCGCCCATGAATAGCCACCAGGATCATTACCTGAGGAACAAAGATACATGAAATGCAATTAAGAATGACAACGAAATTAATTATATCTGCAGTATATGATTCTAAATTTCTAATACTTGAGGCTTAATGTCATACAAGTGACAGAATATAACTGATTTTATCGGTAGAACTTAGTAAATTGAATGCTGCCCACCCAATTCCTACTTTTGAAATATCTTGAATTCAGAGTTCAGTGTGTCGGGAAAGAAAATGCATGAGTGAATGATTTACCATTAAATGCATATACTTTTAGAAAATTTATTAATGAGACTAGTAGTATACTTGAGCTGGCCAACAAGAGTAAATATAGTAGGAAAACAATGCAGCATCATAAGGAATCACAGGAAATGTTTCTGAAAATAGTTCTCACCACAGAAAGACTTTACCACAATGAAATTTTGTCCATGTCTGTCAACTTTTGGGATGAATTCTCTTTCAACTTTCACATTGTTAACATTTACCAATGTTTCCATGTGGAATTTCAGTCATTCAGTGTGTGAAAGCACATGAAAACGATCATCTGCTTTCTCCATGTCATTTGTCCTTTCCACCTGAAAAGCTATGGAAATACTAAAAACATGTTCAGCATATTGATAGTCTAATGAAACTTCCCTTAAATCAAAGGAGATAGATCAGGGTAGAAGATTACAAGAAACAAGCGTTACAATTATCTGCCTTCTAAACATTGTGACTTATTATTGAAAAAAAAAATGAAAAGGATCCCTTCTTATTGGTCGTACATCAACATCACTTCCGGTTTGGCATTATGTAGATGGATGAGGCACAAAGATATGAATATGCTGGACAGAATAGAAACAAATTGTATGCAAAATCTCAGGTGAATCAGCTTCAGTAACCAATACTTAATACAAGGTAATTAAAGTCACAGATTCTCCTGAATTTTGTGTCTGATAGCCTAATCGTGATGGTTCCCTAAAGCATTGCTAAAACAATAAAGTTTCCAACAATGCATCTCCTTTGCATTTCATCAGGCTAGGCTGGAAAATAATTATATTTTGCGGGTTGAAATGAAAGTGAAATCTCGACTATCCCACAATAATTTGGATTGGAATCCACTCCTACTGCATAAGAGGAGGTTGGAAAAAGTTTCATAGGGCTAATATCATTCGAGTCTAGAAACAAAAAAGTTTACTCAAAAAATATCTCCAAGTTGAGTATATCATAAATAACTATGGATTTTGTAAATTATAAAAGGCCAATTTAGTCGCGGTTAATGGTGGTCTGGGGACTGGGAGAGGTTTAGGTACAGACCAAACATTTGGCATATTTGCACAAAGTGTCCATCTTCAGTTTCAAACCCACACCTTTCACATCAAAAGAATGAGTTTTGACCACTGAACCAGTAGGTAGCCCCATGTTTTTGGCAAAATTAAACATGTTTTGTTTGCCCTTGCATCCAGTGATCAAGTCATATAACCCTTCAACAGTAAAGACAAAGCAGAATGTGCCTCTTTAAGCCCTGTGCTCAAAAATCACACCTCGAGCGGGAACAATTACTGGGTAAACAGGTTTCCAATTCTGAAAGAGTGTTTGACCAATATCACACTATACATGTTCTCAGTTCAGTTAGATACAGAAGATGCAAATTGCCATCTGATAATTGAGAAAGGACTAGAACCAAAAAAGACAAGTCTCTTAGATAAGGGTATATATCCTTACAATTAAATAACCCGCGATACAGTAATCGAGATCTTGAAGAAGGGCGTTGCTGGTGTCTGCAACAAATTTGAAGAATAAAAACATCTCATTAGCAATAATATATCATGTCATAGAGTTCACCCAATTTTGCAGTAGTTAATTGTGACTGCAAAACAAGAAAGAATACTAACTCCACCTAATAATTAGTTTTGTCAAACTATACACAATGCATTTTCAGTGTGTTAGAAAACTGAAGCTATAGCACAAGAGAGTCTACTATAAAAAAGGATAACAAAGCTTAGAAAAACAGCAAGAGATTACATAATTGAATCGGGTAACTGGAGACAAAATATAGGTGACCGGCTTGTCTATCATTGTCTCACACAAGAAGAAACATGTCTCATAAATCTGTTTCTCTACTCCCATCATACCTTGTTCAGTTTTTAATCCTAATCCCTTCACATATACTGGGCACAAGTTCCACCAAACTCTCTAAAAAGGAATGAGAAAGGCAAGAACATATGTCCATTAATATATAACCCCTGTACATCAAGGCATTTATGTATTGCTAGGAACATAGATTTGTTAACACATGTACTCACATCAACCCATTGACATGCTTGTAGGCGTATGAAATAGTTACACGTTAAGAAATAACATGAAGTAACAAAGACCTTGAAGACACTATTAGGTTTCCCAACTAGAGAAACCAACAGTGGGATGCCTATAAAAATTAATTCATTTGGCTCGAAATGCAATATGTAAATACAATTGATCTGATCAGCTCCAGGCTGACTGAAATAAGTCCTTAGTCCAAAGTACTTGGCACCCATCACACCTTACGATAACATGCAAATTAATACACTGGGAAAATAGATCTCTATTTGTACTGAACAAGGTGGATTGAAATTCACCACAGCCCTGTTTTACTCAAATATGTACCAATACCACCAAAACATATGATTTTCAAATGCTTAAGAGCATTTTTACAGCAAGTGAAACAATATTAACAACAAAGTTTGAGATGTCAAAAAAAAAACTCTACACTAACCTGTCAATATTTTGTGGAATCCTGCACACCAGATGTGTTAGCAGTTTTGGCAATTGCATTAAGCTCTCTTTGAATGGAGCGTCCCTTCTCTGATAACCCAATCTGTAGAGCAACATTCAGGATTTTACACACACAGACACACATCAAATGAAAAATGCGGTAACTTTTATTATCAGGAAATGAAATACATAACATAGTTCAAAGCATGTCGATAGGCCACACTAAACAATTCTTGGATGAGAATTGCTCAGCATCTAAACCTCGCCTAGCCTCTAAACACAAATATAACTCTCACAACCCATAAACTAGGTGAACAGTCATAAAATTTTAAACATCCAGAGAGACAAATAAGAACACATGTCTACGATGTTCCCTCAAATATATCAAGACATACACATCCAATGTTCCCTCAAAACCCGAGGCCGGCCGAGGGTGAAGGCCAAAACATATAAAGGCATATTTTATCAATGTCATAAAGAACAACAAAAATGATATGTAACAAAGTTTGACATATATTTTTGGTCACCCAGGAAGAAAACAAAAAAAAAATCAATTAATTGGGTAGTTTTATCAACCCAAATATGCAAAGCTATGACCCTCCTGTCACAATCGAATAAACTTACAGATACGCCCTCTTTGACCCTGGTAATGCCCAACAATTACATAAATTTGAGACATCATACCTGAAGCATGAGAACACCATGCCTCCTACAGCAGCAGTAATCAACGCAGGTGAACAGCATAGCGAACACAAACACATTATAGAGCACAGCCAAGAATAAAAGTTGCCCTCCTGCCAAATCCCTAGACTCCGACGATTCACCAGAGCCATACGCGGCATAATATTAACTCGAAGAAGACGATGAAGAACCCGAAGAGAACGACGATCCACCCATGGAACGACCGGGTGGTGCTACCGCCAAAGTCGGAAGATTTGCCAGAGACAAAGCCAATAGAATTGCAAGAACAAGCTGTTTTTGTGAAGCATTGAAAACCATTGTCATTGTCGATCGAGTCTTTACCGTATTGCAATCTTCTTTGAGGGATGTTCATGTTAATCTTGGTGGGTTTGAGAATTTTTTGAGAGACCGCTATGGAACACTGAATAAAAACTGAAAGATATATCTGGTGTTTGGTTCAAGCGGAAAATGGGGGAGTTTCCCCGCTAAAAACAAATCATAAAATTTTATTTTGATATATTATTTCGATCACAATAATATTCGAATTTACCCAATTACATTTTCTCTTTCTTTAAAAATTAAAAAATAATAATAATAAAAAATAAGATTGGAAAAAATAGTTTCGATGGTGAGAGATAATTTGGGACTTATTGAACTTTTCTTGACCTTTTTTTTTTTTTAACTCTGCAATAATATTTAGATAACAATTGCATATTTCTCCTTGGATTTTTATAAAAAAAAAAAAAGACAAGGAGACATAAGGATCAAAAATTCGTTTTAAAATGATCGAAACATTTTTATTTACAACGACACCGAAACAAATTAGTACCAAAATAAAATTTTAATCCTTAAAAAGACATGAGATTGAGAACAGTGGAGTGAAAAGTTATTTGGCAGTTGAGGGGAAGAAATAACAATTGGTCACCAAATCTCTTATTTTCATTTGTAATAGTTAAATATATTATTTATAGAGTTGTTAATCAAATCAAACTATTTGAGTTCGGTCTGAATTTGACTAGTTTTTAACTTTTTCAAACTCGGCTCATTTAAAAAATGAATCGAACTTAAATAACTTTTTAGGTTCATTTAGAAGACGAGCCCGACAGATTCGACTCAAACTCGACTCATTTATGTGCAAATACTTGGACTCGGCTTGAGTTCGGTTCGTTTTAGACTCGTTCAGACTTTGACTCGTTTTTTAAACGAGTTAAACTTGAATAATTTTTTAAGTTCGGTTAATAAAATAAGTTTTTTAAGCTCGACTAACTTGTTCAATTATTTGCCTTAATTACTTATAACTAATTTATTTAATTTACTAATTTTACATATCAATATGGTCCATTGTTATCTTTGGATGAATAGCAGTATTAAGACTTAATTTATAAAGCACGTAAAAGATCACCTGATTAATGGTGGGCCTAAATGTAGTAAATGAAGTTCCACCAATATATTAGGTTCTTTAATTATAATTTTAAATAAAGTATAAACACTGTTTTTTGTATAATCATTTTTTTAAAAAATATAATGTGAGATTATTAACAAAAAAAATTAAATTTAAAAATATTGTAGGAGTGATTACATAAGTCAAATAAAAGAATTGAATTAGAGGAAGTCAATATTTTTTTATTAAACAATAATCTTTAATTGATAGAATTTAGTATTCGAGCTCACATTGCGGCTCACGTTTTTTTGATCAAACGTTATTATTTCAAGGAGCGGATCACAAGGTTTAAACACGCGATTTAATAGTTCTACAGTATGGAGGGAAAATTAATTAAATAAAACGTAATTATCATTGACACTCTCTCTACATAGATATATTTGCAATGGAATCCCCCTATTATTTTTAAATATTACTGATACCCTATATTTTACTAAATTATTTATGATATATTTTAGGAAACACTTCATCCACAACCCTCCTCTAGATAGACATCTTCAATGAGATTGATTAAAATTCAATTCGAGGTAATTAAAATTTATTTTTTACCTATTAAAATTTGAATTGATTAAAAATTATATCTTTTTACTGATTAAAATTTGGTTTGAGTTGATTAAAATTTATTTTTAATATGCTTGAATTAAATTTTCAAACATAAAAAAATATATATTTTAATACGTAAAAATTGAATTTTAATTAACTCAAACCAAATTTTAATCAATTTAAATTTAATACGTACAAAAAAAAATAATTTTAATTGACTTAGATTAAATTTTAATTGGAGCTAGCAACTTAGGTTGAACTCTAATCGGCTAGAATTTTAATATGTAATTTTTTTCAGTAGGCTCGAATTTTAATATAAAAAAAATAAAATTTAATTAATTCAAATTAAATTTTAATCGACTTAAATTTTAATATGTATAAAAATAAATTTTAACCGGCTCAAATTTTAATCAAAATCTACGAAGAAAGATTGTTTGATGTTTATGTTGGGACAATTTTAGTATTTTAGATGAATTTTCTTTTGATTTAACAATAGGGGCATCAATAATGTTTAAATATAAACTAAAAAAAATGGTGTTAGTAATGTTTGAATAATAGAAGAGTCTTATTAAAAATATGTCAATCTAGAGGGGTGTAGATGATAATTACCCTTAAATAAAAAGTGCTGAATTACAGTATCCATCAGTAAACGTAAATTTCACATATAAAACATCACTAATTACTATTTTTCGCAATAAAAGACGACAAGACAACAAAGCTCTCATAAAGAAAGAGAAGCACACACGCACACAGGGAACCAATACATCTCTCTCCCTCTCTGTTCGCCGGATAATTACGTCACCGATTGACGCATTCCGTCAGCAAGTCTCCGTTGATTGAATCACACAATTCTCCGGCGAGGTACGGATCATAGAGTATTTATTCACTTTTCGCTGCGTGGACACTTCTCTTAACAGGAGTTTCTTGATTTTTCTCTAAAAATCTAGGATGCTTTTTGCTTTGTTTCAGATCTGGTAATGTCTGATTAAGGATAAAAAGTTTGGTTTTGTGGCGTTTTCCTTTAATTTTGATGGTGAATTGCATGTGAATTTGATTAAATTTTAGGCATTTCTTGTGATAATTCCACGGAATGGAAGAGAGTGTGCGATCAGGGGGTGTGGTGAAGAAAAAGAGCTCATCTGGTTGTTTGATTATCAAAAAGAAGGGGGATGGGATGGGTGGGGTTGGTTCGTCTGGTTCACAGAACGAGAAGAAGAGGCCTAGGTTTATTCTTAGCGAATCTGGGTCGAGTGATGAGTTGTTAGAGCCTCTTCGGAGGAAAGTAACCGATAGGTTTCGGAATGGCTCTGTTGATTGCAGAAAGAATGTAGTGGAAAATAGAGAATTTGGCAGGAATGGTGAATTCGGGAGTGAAGAGAGAAATATGAGTAGATTGGATTTATTTGAATTCAACGAATATGATGAATTCGATGGACAGAAGATGAGGAATGATTATATGGTTGGACGTGATGAGAATCCAGTGGAATTTGGAAGTGGGTCCAGTAGAAACGTAATGGTTGAGAAGAGGAAACATTCTTACTTTGATGGTACAAGTAGTATGATGGGCGGGAGGAATAAAGGGGTCAATTATATGGCTAAGAGCAGGATTGAGATGCTGGAGGATGAAGCTCATATGCCCGTTTCATCTTTTAGAGAGAAGCAGGAAGCATTGGATAAGCCTATAAGGTTGCAGGGGAAAAATGGTGTGTTGAAGGTAATGGTTAATAAAAAGAAGAAGATGGGTTTGTCTCATAATAGCTACAATCATCACAAATTTGAGAATAGAAACATTTCTAGTTCCGAAGATGCTATTAGAAAGAATGCTTTGGTACGATCTTCATTGTTTCCAGATTCAAAACATCAGAAATCAGATCCATTGACCAAGAAAGAGAAAAGTAAGCTGAAATTGCGGAAATCATCACCAACTAAGAGCAGGAAGGGCAGAGATTTGGCAACAGATAATGGTGACACTCCACTGAAGCTGGGACCTCCAGATGTGAAAGCTTGTGATTCAACAAAAAGGGTAAAAAATGAAGGAAAAAGAGCTCCACCAACTGAAAATGTCACTAAAGTTGGCAGTAAAGAAGGAAAAATTCCACATGGTACTGGCACAGACAAACAAGTACTACGTGAGCAGATAAGAAATATGCTTGTCAATGCTGGCTGGACGATTGATTATAGGCCAAGAAGAAACAGAGACTATCTAGATGCAGTTTACATTAACCCCAGTGGGACAGCATATTGGTCGATCATTAAGGCTTATGATGCGCTTCAAAAGCAGTTGGAGGAAGAAGGTGATAATACCAAACTTGGCTGGAAAGTATCAGATGACTTGCTCAATAAATTAACGAGACAAACCCGAAAGAAGATGGAGAAGGAAATGAAGAAGAAGAGAAGAGATGATGGTCGGAGAAAGAATGCAAAGGAAGCTGCTCGGAAAAAGCCTACGGAGGGCATGGACAGCGATCAGCATGAAGAGACACTTAGTGTTTATATGAAGCAGAATGGCAAGTCATTGAAAGGCAGATTGCAGGAAGCAGATCATATGTGTGGGGATGATTTGAATGATAATCTTTACAAAACAACATTCCAGCAAAACAGGGCTGAAAAACCATCTACTTCAACTGATTCTCATACGATTCAACAGAGAAAAAGCAGAATATTAGGCAGATGCACTTTGTTGGTTCGCAGTTCTGACAAGGGACAAAATCCTGAAACTGAAGGTTATGTTCCATATACTGGAAAGCGAACCTTATTGTCCTGGTTGATTGACTCTGGAACAGCAAAATTGAGTGAAAAAGTGCAGTATATGAACCGCAGACAAACAAAAGTAATGCTGGAGGGATGGATCACAAGAGATGGCATCCACTGTGGTTGCTGTAGTAAAATCCTTACGGTTTCGAAGTTCGAGATTCATGCTGGTACCAAAAAGGGTCAGCCATACCAGAACATAATTTTGGAGTCCGGGACTTCCCTGTTGCAGTGTCAGATAGATGCATGGAATAGACAGGAGGATTCCGAACGCCAAGGTTTTCACTTTGTAGATGTTGATGGTGATGATCCAGATGACGATACTTGTGGCATTTGTGGTGATGGTGGGGATTTGATCTGTTGTGATGGTTGTCCATCAACATTTCATCAGAGTTGTCTAGATATACAGGTACATTTAAGATAGAAATGGAAATTGCTTTCGTGCTTTATTTGCTTGGATATGCTCTTATAGGCAATTATTTGGTATAGGATATGCATGCCTACATACGTAAATATATATCTGTGCAAAATAAATGGGTCATTTGGCCTGCCAATTTTAATGTTATTGCTGGAATGGACCATGGATAAAAACACAGATTTTGAAGCAACTTTGCAGAGTGGATAGAGTTTTTGACTTTTTGTTTATTCGGGTCATTGCCATTGTGTTTGGAAAGAGACTGGATTTCGTGATGCAGGAGAAAGAACGCTACTATGATGTGTGATTATCCATTGACAAGAAAACCATTATTTTACATCTTGCATGTTTGACCAATGATGTATCTGAGGATGTCCATGGTGTTTGCTAGTGTTTTAAATTCCCATATTATGGTAGAAAGTTTGAATGAGACGAAAACTTATGTCTCATGTTTATCTAAGGTTCCTTTTGCTGAAAAGTACAGATAAAGTCAGACCCTTGCCTGACCTTATTGCTTAGCCCAACAGAGGGTATTCAAATTTAAGACTTGAAGCAATTTGGTACTTACGGCCTTGCGCGGGACTTAAGCAGGATGATGCTATCGAGGTCCCAAACTAGTTTGGTTCAATGGTGGATTTAAGATCTAATACCTTGCTTGGGTTATGTAAAAGCTTTTACTGAAACTTTTGGCTTTGAAGTTAGTTTGTTGAGTATATTTCTGCTATAGAGCTTAGGGCTCAAACTTGTTGGCTTTGGAGAGAAAACCATATCAAATGAAGTAATTGTTGTGTTTTATTGAACTGTAGCATTTTGTGCTTTGGCTGCATTTTTAAATTAATTTATGACTAAGCAGTTGGGGCACTTGCTTCTCCTTTTGTTGAGGTGCTTCCCACTGGTGATTGGCACTGTCCAAATTGTACA